TGAAGACTTTATTCGTTTTTGCTGGGGGGAGATAGCTCAATTGGTCATTACGGGGGGGGAGATTGCTTAATTGATCCCAACCCAGTTTGAGAAAAACAGTCTTTCAAACTTCAAGTTTTTTTTTCGTTTTTCCGGATAATTGAAATCAGCACAGTATATTGCAGCTTTTCAACGTTTTCATTAAAAAATTCAAATTCCGCTGCAGGAATTTTAGTACAGCGGTACTTCAATTAGAAAGTAGAAAAAAAACTTGACCTCTTGTTTTTTCCTAATTTCTACAAACATACTTTTCATTAGTGGATCCTAGATGAAATCTCGTTGTTTGAATTTCTATGATGTGTTTATTTTACCTGGACAAGAGAGAGTTTTTTGCTGCTTTATTGTGTCGTTTTCTTCTTTGAAAACGCCTACACCATTTTGCCCCATTGGAGAAAATAATAGTTGATTCAGTGAACAAAACTGCGTGTTGAAGTTCAGGCTCATTTGTGTGGCTGTACTTTCACGAAGATCTTTCAGTTTCCAAGCTCTCTGTTTTTGGACAGCTCCTTCACTTGACTGATTGTCACCGTACGTTAGATAATCTTCGAATGGTTTCTTAGCAGTCTCGAGGAATTTTGCCGCTTCTTTGAACTTTATCGCTAATGATGAGATACTTTGTTCAACTCCTATTATGTGATCGGTCTGTTTTTCTAGTTCTGTTAAAGTGTTTTGTCTGAACATTTTCACATCATAAGGGTTCTGAGAATTTCGCAGCGTGCTCTCAGTAGAGGCTAGGACATTCATCGCATCTGTCGCAGCCTTGATTTTCTCTAGTACTTTCAACGATTCATCATTTGCATCTCGATACTTGTGTTGACATTGGCGAATGTTCCCCCAGTGAATCCTTGTATCTGAAACCAGTTCCGTTGTTCCAGGTTCTAATGGTACAACTGAGTGGCCATTGTGTCCTGAGCTCCAACAGTCTTTGCAAATTGCCATCAAACACCTTTGCAAATTGTCATTTTTGCACAATATGTCCATTGGCTTTTTGTGTAACTTACAAAGCTGATGAAGATTGTTTCCCTCTGATTTTTCTGCATTTTGCTGTGTTGCCTAAAAACGATTTTTTTGGTTTGCGAAAAATCCGATGGCTAATTTGAAAATCGACTTCTATCAAAATTTTAATGACACCAAAAACAAACTAAAAAGGCAGATGAGTGCTTCAAATTTTGTAGCTTTGAGACAAATTGCAAGCTATGGAGAAAAAAAACTGCACATGGAATTTAATAGCAAAATTTCGAACCAGATGTATTTTTTAATCTTTTGACTTCAAAGACTTGCCTAAAGTTACTTTCGATAAATTTTGAGAACTGCTAATCTAAACTTTACCGTTATTGCAGTTTTCAGATCGTAGTTTATTGACAAGTCATTTTCGCCTCGAATATGAACAGAAACGGGTTTGCGGCATTTTGAACACAATCTCGGATTGCTGGTTAAAACCCGCTGCAGGCACTTTTTAGGAAGCGAACAAAAAGAATGACCACAGTATAGAGCTTTCGGATTCTCTAGAGTTTCAAGACAAATGCAACACTCGAAAGGCTCACTCATTCTTGTTGCTAAAAGCGAATAATGTAGCCAAACAAGCAGTAGAAAGTAACGTGTGTTCACAATCGATAGCTGCTGTTGATCAGTAAGCAATTTTGCGCAGTTTTTATAAAGAATGGTCAATTATGAATTACATAAACGATGCGAGCGAATTGTTGATTTGTTCGTTTTTGATGGTTACAAAAAGTTGAACAGTTTTCAAACTTCAGCACGCGACGTTACAACAAAAGACTATTTGAATAAAACAATATGCAATTTCGAATTACCATCGCGAATTCAGCGTTAAAAATATGCATGAGTATTAAAACAACGCAAAAGATGGTTTGCGGCAAAACGTGGTGTGGAGAAAGATGAAAATCAAACTCTTATTTATAGTGTTTTTTATTTTTTTGAAGATTGTTTGCGATAGGAGTATCATTATGGATGATACTACAGCTCTTTCTTGTATTTTAGCTCGGAAAAAAATGACATCTTTTAAAAAATCCGTTGATACTTTTTAATACAAATGAGATCGCCATTATTTTTCTGATGATTTTTTGATCAAGCACAGCTTCAAATTTTTTTCCCAGTCTTGTCAAATCATCTTTTCTGTATTCTCTCAGAACAAGTTTTGCATTTTTTCCTACTTACCAAAAGGTTGACAACAAAATTGCAGTATCAGTACTTCAAGACTATCAGTACTTTAAAACTGCGGTGATTTTAAATAAAAAAATTTTGTGTTCGCTGCGCAGCCGCACTGAGCGCAATAAAAAAACTTGGCAAGGCCAAACTGTATAAATAACTAATTGTAATCAGGTTCCGGAATCGAACCGCTCTCTTTGATCTTTCATTGATCGTACCGAGAACCTACACCAAACTGTGCGCCTATACAGTGCACCGTTTGGCTCAGTAGAGTACATTCACACCGAAAGTGTATACTACAATGAACCAGGATATTGCTGTTAATGAGAAAAAAATCTATGCAGGTGTCGTGTCACGTTTTGAATCAGTAGAACACAAAACATTGACACTAACAAAAAAATTTCTATAGAGATCTGTTTATAATAGTTAAAACATTCCTGAACTAGGTCGAATATAGCTCAGACGACTCATTAATCAAACAAAAACATTTTGATTGCCATCTGGGAATAAATATACAACGTAAACAACGTTTTTTCACTAAGAAAATGTTAAAGAAAAGTTGCTACATAATTGGATTGATTCGAAAACTGCTATATAAATTTTTCAACGTTTCATTTAAGCCAAAAATTATAAAATATCGATGTTTTATGCAACTAGATGCAATGTAAAAGACAAAAAGAACAATTAAAATACATTGCAACCGAATAGATTGCAAATTGAAATATTTTGAAACAAAAAAACTATAAGAAGTTCATCAAATCTAGTCGATCGCAGTTCTTTTAAAACAGATGGAAAAGAAATCAAGAAAAAATCAGCCCTTTTTTTCCTTTTTGAATGAAATTTGTTTTGAAAATAGACCTTATCATTGATGAATATTTAAATATAATCCTTTGTTTCTCCGTTTAACAATAACTGGATGTCGAATGATAAAAAAACTCATTTTTAACGCTACAAACTGGGCGCGACAATTATTTCCTTTGCATAAGAATGAAATAGGAGTTCATTTTCAAATTATTTCGTTTTCAGGAGGAGAATAAAAAAATCCAACTAAAGATTTTTAAATTAAATCATTAACAACTGCTTTTTGATTAAATTCATTTTTGTTCAAATTAAAATAAACAAAACTATTAAACACTTCTATCAATTAGGTTTTGCGAACATCATTATGCATCTTTTACGCGTTTAACAAAGGTTTTGCAAATTAAACGAAGAATAGTTCGAAAATGAAACACAATAAAAAAGATCATTGGACAATGAAAAGAAATGAAATTAAGTTACCTTGTTATAAATGTCTGCATTTTTTGAATATTTTCAATTATACGAACATTTATAGTATTATTGCATGAACAACGTTTTATAGTTTCTCTGAAACAGAAAAAGATCAAATAGATTTTCAGATTTACAAGAATAATTAAGGGTCGAAAACTTTGACTTTGTAAGTAATTGTATAACATTTGACTTGTGCTTACTAGCGCGGGTTGACAAAAAATGCTTATCAAACTGTTTCATATCATGAAAAAAATGCTAATCATACTGTTTCATACTATTTCATGGACCAAAAAATACTATGATATTAGCATGATAAGCATTTTTTCCTTACTATGAAATAATATGAGATGTATTTTTTCCATATTTTGAAATTGTATGGCAAGCATATTTTCCATAAATGAAAACACCAAAAAAATTTGGTTGTGAAATTTTGTGTTTCATCAGAAACACTAACCCTGGACTTTTTAGCATAATAAAACACAGAGTGTAACTGGCAGTTACCACGCAGATTAACTGAATTTGATTGTTGTTGTTGCCACCTACGTTTATTTTTACCATTTCAAATGGAATTATATACCAAAATGTAACTTTTTGTGTATGGCTAGATAGTTTATTTTTGAGCACAAAACAAGTTTGCAACCAAAAAGGAGATTAAAATTTTTTTACCTCAAATTTGTGTTTTGGCTTAAGAAGAAATGCATATGATAAAACTTTCATAAATGAAAAATATATGATGAGCATTTTTTTGCCCAAAATATAAATCATGTTTTCAGAGTCAAAATGCGTTCTTCTAATAAAATTTTTTAAAGCTCATGTAAATTCATCCAGAAACATGGTTAAATTAGTTTTGAAGATTTTATTTTTTCTATAGCAAAATGGCAATCATACAATTTTCATATATGAAAATATTATGATGAGCATTTTTTGACCAAAAATAAAATCATGTTTTCTTCGAGCAGAAAAATTCAAAAGATGGAGTTAGAACAGAAGTACTTCTCTAAAAACGTTTAAAACAGTTTTTAAGTTTTGTATGAAAACTGTATGGTAAGCATATTTTCCATAGTCGCCATTTAAATTGAACATATTCCTTGCCTAGACAGCTTGCCCACACAGGAATTGTCTTATGTCATTGAAAGTGAGGTAAAGTTTCAAATTGTTTTCTAGTTATCAGCATCATTTTAAAAACTTCTGATATCCTTTGTGTCAAGTGAAGGCACACTTTTAGTTGACATTCGTACATGGCTGATTTTGGTGCGAACAGTTATCGAAAGCTTACCATTTTCTTAGTTTTTGTGTCTGCTTCAAAACCGTTGTTTGCTCTAGATTTTTCTCTCCATTTGTTCCGTTTTCTATTGAGAGAACTCAATGTTTGTGTTACTGACCGAAATGAGTTTCCATGGTTTATAATCGATTATAAATCAATTTTCGAGTTCAAAAAGTTTGCCTCTAATCCCCCCTTACACCTTCTCTGCCCTTCCCACAACTACTCGCCTCCATCCTAATTTTTTGGGGATATAAAGGTCTGTAGAGGGATGCAACTCTTAATCTCTGGTGTCGTCTTTGAAATGAAAATCTTGCCAGAATTTGGCAAGATTCACAAAATGTTTGCATTCCCTGAACCATAAAAATTTTCACTGTTGTTTTAAAACGTATGCACTTGTGCAAACGTTTGAACTTGCAGATTCTGACACTTTAACGTCAGAAATCTTTTTAAATATGATTTCTAAAATGTGAGCGGTGAAAAGTTGTTTTGTTTACTTACAATTAACACATTTTTTGAAAGTTATTGCACATATATATCATTACGAGCCCGGGTTGACCTCCATAAACCAAAATTGCTTATCTTACAATTCCCCACATCAAAAGTATAGAAAAATGCTAATCATACACTTTTCATACAATTTCAAAAAATCGTTGGAAAAAGATTCGAACACGTTTCTGCGGCTATTTGAACCAACTAAAACAGTCTGGTGAAGAAAAAAACTATGTTTCTAAGTAAAACTGAAGTGGCCCCAAAATCTTTTTGGTTTTTTTTCTCAACCGCAAATCTAATTTTGTACTAAAAAACATTTTCCAAAAAAAATTGCTTGCAATTTTTAATTTTTTTGTCTGCATATTATAGTTCTGGGTACACAAAAATTGGATTTTTTTCCGTTTCTTTGAATATTTTTTTTTTCATATAGCCTAGTTCTTTTGCATGGAAATGACGGATAATTTGAAAGTTCTAGTTTTAAAATATTCATCTTTAAAAAGGTTTGCCGAAATTTAAAAGTTTGATGCTTTCAGTTTATGATTCGTGAAAAGCGCTCTTTCGCAATTCAAGTCGTTTCCAATGCTTTGCAAATGCCATACGGTCCACCAATTCAGGAATGTGCAGGCAAAAAATTGGGCGCATATCCAGTGCACAGTTTGGCCTCGTAATGATCTATTTTGAAAAGTTGTAAAACTATTTTTATACCTTTAACAACGTGGATTTTTAATGCTTCCCGCATCCAAGTTTAGGCGTAAGAGATCGATTATAATGGATTATTATGATCATTTTTTGACAAATATAATTGATTAGAAGCACCAAAATTTAGGTGTTTAGAGGATTTAGAGTCGATTAAAATCGTGATAATTTCTAGCAGGCTATAATCTCTTTTAATCGATTATAATTGATTATAGTTTATAAAAAAAAAATGTATCTTAAGCATTTTTTCATTTATGAAAGTTGTAGAATAAGCATTTTTGGTCAACCCGACAGGCAAAATTGGGTAATTTGAGAAAAATAAGCGGAATCTGCAACTAGAAGGCTCCTTTTTTTCTCCTTCGTTTTTTTTTTCATTTTCTTTGATCGTTCACACAAATTTTTTTAAACAGTTTAAAGGTTTGTTTCTGGAAATTAGGAATTTGCAGGCAAAAAATTGGGCGCATATCCAGTGCACAGTTTGACCTTGAAATGATCTCTTTTGAAATGTTGTTAAAAACTATTTTTATACCTTTAACAACGTGGTTTTTTAATGCTTCCCGCATCCAAGTTTAGGCGTAAGTGATCGATTATAACGGAATATTATGATGATTTTTTGACAGATATAGTTGCTTAGAAGCACCAAAATTAGGTGTTTAAGGGATTTATAGTCAATTAAAATCGTGATACTTTCCAGCAGGCTATAATCTCTTTTAATCGATTATAATTGATTCTAGTTTATAAAAAACCCTTAAAAACCATTGTAGTCGATTTTAAACGATTATAATTGATTATAAGCTATTTTTTTTTGCAAAA